TTCAGAAGTCTCAAAAAAATTACATTTTTCTACATTAAACAAATTAACTGGGTAAAAACCTTCACTTTAACCTGGCTGGACAGAGTCAAGGGGGGAAAATAGCATATCTAAATCAAATCAAATGGGGATCTTCTAGAGAACACTCCCAGAAGGACCCTCTTTGGGAAATGCTACTCAGTGCTAAGTAAATATCATATTTTACTGGAGGGTTTGTCACTTAGAGTAGAAGGCACTTGCCATCTTAATTGTTTTCTTCTAGTATTTTCTATTTCATCCACTATTGTCTTCTTACATGGTACCCAGGCAGAGCTCCTAGCAGGTCCTTGAACCTGCCATGCTATTGTATGACACCAAGCATTTATTCAAACTGTTTCCATTATATAAGTGGCCTTTTGTAGTGACCAGCCCCTCAAAACCTAGCTTTCATGTCATTTCCTCTGTTCAGCCCACCATCACCATCACCACCTTCCAGCCTGATAAAACAGATGCTCCCTCCTTTGGGCCCCCATTCTGCCTCTACATCTTTCTGTCTTAATACCAGTAACCTTTACTTGCACTTGGTTGGTTTCTTATCCGTCTCTCCCCAGGGAGAAAGTCTTATTCTTACTCAGTTATACAGTGTTTATCTGTTGAGTATATGAGTGATTATTCAACAACTCGAGCAACCTGTTCTTTGCCAATACTTTGTAGAAGTCAGAAAGACATGATTATCTCTGTTCTCAATTAACTCTTGACCTACTGAGAAAGATAGACTCCTATACAGCTAAACTCGGCAAGCGTAAGAGAAGGGTCTGGGACAGTGCTGACGCTGAGCTGTTAGTGGGCAGGGTAGTGAACACATAAAAATTCACCACATTTTAATATGTCTTCTATGGTTTTCATAATCCAAACATCTCTGTTTCAATCACATGTTTCACATTGCTTACTAATGTCTTCTCAGCATAGTCTAGACCTATGCTTCCAAAGCTAATGTGCACCCAGATAACCTGGGAACTTTGTTAAAATGCAGACTCTGATTGAGCAGTTCCGTGGAGATGCCTGGATTCTGCATTTCCAGCAAGCTCTCAGGGGATTCCACTGCTGCGGGCCCACAGACCACATTTTAGAAAGCAAAGCTCTGAACCATTGTCATGTCAGCATATAAACATTGTTGAAGTAGCACCAGTTTTTGAAAAAAGTCTCACTGCTACCCATTCTTCTGACTAGACATTCTTCTGACTTATAGTTAAACATGATTTTAAAAAGTTACACCAAGAGAGATAAGATTCAGCCAGACCCCAGCCCCAAAAACTGACCAAATGCCTTGAAACTGTTACTTTCCAGCCTTTGTTTTATTATCTAAATACAAAAGGTTTTCGTTCCTGTACTTGAGGTCTGCTGCTACCAGATGACTATGGTTTGAATGTGCTGCAAGGTTTTCCCTAATGTACAAGATTACCAGTATTTGCTCAAGTCTCCTCTATGTTTAAGCTATAATATACCCCAGGACCATGATGTAAATGGGAATATCTTTTAACAAAACTATAAAATCTTAATCACCTTAAATAATCATAAATAAAAATATTGCTTTAACGCAAATTTTTAAGACAAATTCCGTGAGGTACCAATGGGAAACTAATTTTTTATTAAATTTTTAAATAATATTTTGTTTTCAGTAACAGTTGACATAAGTTATTATATTAGTTTCAACTGTACACCCCAGTAATTAGACATTATATAACTTACTAAATGATCATCCTGATAAATCTCATACCCATTTGACACCATACATAGTTATTAGAATATTATTGACTATATTCATCCATCTCCCAACCCCCCTCCAACTGGCAACTATCAAAACATTCTCTGTATCTATGAGTCTGTTTCTGTTCTGCTGGTTTTCTTTTTTTTTTTTTTAAATATATCTTTATTGATTTCAGAGAGAGGAAAGGAGAGGGAGAGAGAGAGACAGAAACATCAATGATGAGAGAGTCATTGATCGAGCCCGCAACCAGGCATGTGCCCTGACTGGGAATCGAACCCCGATTGCCTGGATCCTAGGTTGACGCTCAACCACTGAGCCACGCCCAGCCGGGCTGGTTTTCTTATTTTGTTTTTTAGATTCAATTGTTGATAGGTATTTATTGCAATTTTATTGTTCATATTTTTTATCTCTATTCTACTTTTTCTTCTTAAAGAAGACCCTTCTTTAAGGGTCTTTTCATATAATACGGATTTGGTGCTGATGAACTTTAGCTTTTTCTTGGCTGTGAAGCTTTTCATCACTTTGGCTATTTCTTTCAATCCCTTCTGGCCTGCAAAGTTTCTTTTGAGAAATCAACTGAGTGTTATAGGAGCACCCCTGTAAGTAACTAACTGCTTTTCTCTTGCTGTTTTTAAGATTCTCTATTTGTCTTTAACCTTTGGCATTTTAATTATGATGTGTCTTGGTGTGGGCCTCTTTCGGTTCGTCTTGTTTGGGACTCTCTGAGCTTCCTGGACTTGTAAGTCTATTTCTTTCGCCAAATAAAGGAAATTTTCTGTCATTGTTTTTTCAAATAGGTTTTCAATTTCTTGCTCTCTCTCTTCTCCTTCTGAACCCCCATGATGCAAATGTTGGTACACTTGAAGTTGTCCCAGAGGCTCCTTACACTATCCTCATTTGGGGAGGGGGGTCCTCTTTTCTTTTTGCTGTTCTGATTGGGCGTTTTTGCTCCCTTATATTCCAAATTGCTGATTTAATTCTCAGCTTCATCTACTCTACTGTTGATTCCCTGTAAAGTGTTCTTCATTTCTGCTAGCATATTCTTCATTTCTAACTGGTCCTTCTTTATGCTGTTGAGGTCCTCACTAAGTTCATGAGCATCTTTATAACCAGTGTTTTGATTATATCTGTATCTGGTAGATTGTTTGTCTCCATTTTGTTTCGTTCTTTTTCTAGCGTTTTGTTCTGTTCTTTGAGGCATGTTTCTTTGTCTCCTCATTTTGACAGCCACACTGTGTTTGTGTCTATGTATTAGGTAGAGCTGTTACATCTCCCAGGCTTGGAAGAGTGGCCTAATGTAGTAGGTGTTCTATAGGGGCCATTGGCACAGCCTCTCCAATCACCCCAGCTAGACACTCAAGGTGTACCCCACCCTCGTGTGGGCTTTGTATACCCTCCTCCTGTCATTGAGTTTTGGTTGCTATTGCACATCAATGGGAGAGATTTACCCCCAGGCCAATCAGCAGCAAGGACTGCCTGCAACCACTGACCACAGACCTCTGACCACTGTGGAGGATCAGCTGTGCAAGGGCCCACCCCACAGAGCAGGACCTACTTCAGCAGGGCTCTGGTGCTGCTGAGTTAGCTCTTTGAGTGCGTTGTTTGCAAAGGTGGTTGGGTGGTGGTGCTTCGATGTGGTGTGAAGCTATCCACTGGGTTCACTGGCTCTGGGGCCTCCTGGGAGGTGCAAGCTAAGTTCAGTCACTACCTGTGTTCTGCCAGGGACCACCCAGCCTAAACTACAAAGTGATCTGCAGATGGCTGCTGCTTGTACTGGACTTGGAGGTGCCTGGTGAGACTAAACTACAAGCCAAGGCCAGCTGCTGCTAGTGCTGGGCCTGGGGCCACTTAGTGAGGTACTAGGCTCACTGAGGCCAGATGCTGCTTGTTTGAGAGATTTTAGGAAAATCTGAAGCATGAGCCAAGACAGGCCACTCCTGTGGTAAAGCCCCTGGAAACAGCTTGGGTGGGCCTGGAAGTTTGGGGAGGGGGGGGCGTGTCTCAGGGAATCATCAGGGTAGGGCAGTGTGAGCCAGGTTGATGGAGTCTCAGATATGGCACCTGTCTGTGAGCTCTGTGGGTGGAGGGCTCATCACAGGAACAACAGCACCTGCCAGCACTTCTGTCTGAGGGAAAGCTGCCCCCTCCACCTCCAGCTCTCAACCTGAAGCCAGATAATTCCTTTCTTCTCAGTATGTCCGTGGTTCCTTTTGAGCTGCTGCTCCAGTGCTGGAGTTCAGAGGGCATGAGTTTGAGTTATTCCCTGTGTGGACCCTTTAAAAGGAACAACCTGCAGCCCTCCATCTCCCTCAGCCTCAATCCCTGCTGGTTTTTACAGTCAGAAGTTATGAGGACTTCTCTTCCTAGCACTGGAACCCCAGTCTGGGAGGCCTGGTGTGGGGCTGGGACCCCTCACTCCTCAAGGGGGACCTCCATTAGCCAAGATATCCTCCCAAGTTTTATCAACGTTGGTGTGAGACCAGACCGTTCTGCGTCTCTGCCCCTCCTACCAGTTTAGATGTGGCTTCTTCTTTAATTCCCTAGTTGTAGGACTTCCATTCAACCCAGTTTCAGGGGGTTCTAAATGATAATTGTTCTGTACTTTAGTTGTAATTTCGATGCAGTTGTGGGAGGAGGTGAGTATCATGTTTACATACACCACCATCTTGACCAGAAGTCTCTTATTAACTTTTAATGGTTCCCATGCCAGCATCTGTTTAATTTTTCAATTCATTGGAGCATGCCACTCATCATCAAAGTCAAAACGCCTTAGACCATGAGTCTCTGGGCCTTCACTCTATCTATACACCTTTTGTCATTTGTCAGTTTTGAATTCTCCTTTCACCGAGACAGAATCTCTACTTGATCCCTACTTGAGCTGTCTTCTTTTGTAGGTCTTCTTCCTCTCTTTCTTACATCATCCTCTAGCATGATTTCAAACAAACCAAGTACCCTATGTACATTTCCTCCTGAGTACATGGAGAAGACATTATAGGTTCTTCATATCTACTATTCAACACCACCTTACCACAATGATATGCTACTTAAGAGGCAGTCCAATTATTTTGTTTCCCCTTGCACAATTAGTTATTACATTATTTTATCTGACAACATAACAGTGGATTAAACAGTAGTGAACTGTTTTCATCACATAGGCCATGTGGAAGACACTGGACTCTTTACCTTTCCTTATGTCAGAGTCTGGAGAAAGCTTTTCTAAATGATCTTTCTTCTCACCACTTGTGGTCTCATTTAGGTCAATTCCAAAGATGATGACGGTGTCCTTGTTGGATCCTGGGACAATGTCTATGCCTATGGTGTCCCCCCTTCCGCCTGGACTGGAAGCATTGACATTCTGTTGGAATATCAGAGTTCTCAGAATCCAGTTCGGTATGGTCAGTGCTGGGTTTTTGCTGGTGTCTTTAACACATGTAAGTATCCAACTGAGTAATATTTTTTTAATGTAAAGGAAATTTCACTTCACGATATTTTATCTATAATCTGGTACAGAGACCTAGCAATCCCCGTTGGCTCTGTAGAATTTATGGGTGGCTATTCTGGGATGTAGTCAATGCATAATTAAATTGTTCTGGGCCAGATATGCTCATAGTTTCTCTTTGACTGTAGAATCTTTATAGAAAGAATGATGGACTATTTCCTATATAATCCATCATCCTAAATCCAGAGAAATGGAGGGTCCCAGGGGCCAAGTAAGGATGTGGGGCTAAGGATATGGCAATTTTTTTCAGTCACCCCCCCACACACCCATTTTAAAAAGATTAAATTAGCCAAATTTAAAATAATAATAATAGTAAGAAAAGATTTATGTGGATTTTTATTTGTTATTGAGAAGTTTTATAAATATGCTTAGTTGCGTATTGTTTATCACTGGGGTTTTTTAAATAAATATATCTATTTAATTTTTACTCTAGCTATGGAAGGGATTTGGCAGGTGGTCTCATCTCCACTTTTTTCATCTTCATTTTTATATGTGAGTCTCAATGCCCCTGAGCAATTAGGTATCAGAATTTAATGAACAATTGTCACTCCCCAGTTTCCTTTCTGGCTTTTAATCCACGCAGCATCCAATCCACGGAAGAAAGCATATGGGAACAGAATTACTCTCTCCAGCCCCATGAATCATTGTGTGAAATGGCATTTGCCTATATAGGCCCAATGTTATTGTTAATTCAGTGAATATTTTTAAAGATACATGTATTTCAGTGTGTCTTCATGATTGGTAATGATTTTCATTCACATGCCATTTCTACAGCCTCGGAGAAAACATTAAGCTCAAATTGGAGTGTCCTTTCTGCTTACTCATTAATAAGGAATGTTTCATCAAGCTAGCTTTTTTTTCCTTCAGAAAAATTAAGGCAGGGTCAGAGGCTAGAAGCTGAGATGAGGTCGTTTTTTTAATAAATGATTATGACGCCTATCAGTTTCAGCTCAAAGTTGTTATGGTCTAAGAACTAGTCAGTGATCCAAGTGAGAAGAAATTATGAGTTTTGTATCATGCGTTCTGTTTCCCCATGGCATCAAAATGAATATTATTTTCCTAGCCACTTAAGGACGCCCAAGGACTAAAAGAATATACGTGTATTTCCTGAAAGCAATCAAAGTCAATGCATCTGTCTCTTAGAAGGGGTGGTCTCTGGAGTTCTAGAGAGAAGCCTGAACTTCAAGATAGTAGTTCTGCTCCCTCGTGGTTTGCAAGCCAAGACTGTGTAGACAGCACCCAACAGAGGCAGTCAATCTTATGAAAGGATTCCAGGAAAGCAGAAAGAGCCCTCTGTCGCCCCATGTCCTCCTGCTGCCGGTAATTTCACTATCCCAGTGTAATTCCTTCAGGCTTAGAGCCAGATCAAACAGTGAGCACCTTCCATCCATTTGTGCCTTTTGTATAAAAGGGTCTCCAGAGCTACTCCAGGCTTCGATGGTAAGCTAGGAAAGGCAGAAGCGCAACGTGAGAGTTAACACAGTGAGAATAAACTCGAAGAGGGAAGTTGGAGGGAAGGAGGTCCTGGCACCCCAGTGCCAAGCTTCCCCTTACCAGACTCCAGTATGGACTTCCAAGGTTGTCCTGTTGAAGGAGGGGGATAGTCTTTGGTTAAAAATGCTAAACTGTTCTGAGGAAATAAAAGGCAAGCCAAGTAATTAATCTTAAAATTGTCAGCTGAATTATTTTCAATGAGCCCTGATGTGTGGCATCCTGGGAGCCAGGGAGGGCATTTGGATTAAATTTAATCAATAGGTACATATGGCAAGAGTTGCATCCTGGTAATTTATTATGTAACAATTAAAATGAACCTGTGGTGTCACCTTCCACCAAGTGTTACCGAGCAAATTCCAGCCAGGAAAGCAAACCCCACTGAGGACTTGCTTTGTAGATTTCTAACTTCGTATTAGCCAGTTTTTTATTTTATTTTCAGAAACATAGTCCCCTTAGCTGTACTAAAATACCACTTTGACAACTGTATGGTTTGCAACTAAACAGTTGGAACGCTGTTACTGGGCTTCTGTCCCAGTTGGCTTCATCTGGCCCAACTGCAGTTCTGAATGACCATGCAGCAAGGTTTCTCTCTGCAGCCTTGATCCTGCAATAGCCCCTTCTCCAGCATGGAATGTTTGAATGTGCGAATGGGGCTTTCCATGTTGGTGTTAAAGTAAAAAACAAACAGAGACTAGCCTTGAAGATTTCCCTAGCAGAAAAAAACAGTTTGCACACAAAAATCTTACTTTGGCTTATTTTGCAAGGCTAACTTGACCTGGGTCATTTCCTGCTTATGCCTCTGGAAACCTTGAACTGCTTCCTAACCCTAACCACTGACCAATTCCTTATCTTTTAAGAAAATTCTAATATAAGCAATCACTGTGACCACTAAACAGTCACTGCTTCCTCACTATATAAGCCCCTTTATAATAATACGTCCTTGGGCCTCCTTCTGTGTCTTGGTCTGAGTGTTCCTGGTTAGTGAACTGTCTCTTTGGTGTGCACACAATACTCTCACTAACTACCACTTTGGTGATTCATTGGATTTACTTATGTTATTTTCGAACTTTTGACTTTGCTAGAGAAGAAAGTCCCTATGAGGAGGGATTGCTCCCTATGTATTTATTAAATTTCGGTGATGTGATTAGTTGTGGTCTGTCTTCTTCCCTGCAGTTTTGCGATGCCTGGGGATACCAGCAAGAGTTGTCACCAATTACTTCTCAGCCCACGACAATGATGCCAATTTGCAAATGGACATCTTCCTGGAAGAAGATGGGAATGTGAACTCCAGACTCACCAAGGATTCAGTGTGGTGAGTTTGATTTACAAGGGCATTTGCTGATATCAAATTAAAATGACATTACACATTTACCACAAGACAGACTTGGTCTACTGTGTCTTTCTTTTCTATTTTAAGGACTGTTCAGTACCATAGACAGGAATGTCTGATTGTCAGAGATTGTTTTTACCTAATGTATGAGAAATGTTACTGAACAGGCAGTTTCAGTTCTTAGTAATGAGGATCGGTCATCCCATATGATAGCAGCCACTGATAAAGGCCATTGTTTCAGTGGCGAGGGCCTACGCTAGCTCCTCTCTACCTTAGTTTATGAGCATTATGGTGAATGGCAGAGAGATGGGAGCCAAGCATTGTCTATGTCAATACTCTCAGAGTCATATAGCTAACATTTATTGAGCACTATCCACCAGTCTCTGTGTGTACATGATCTTATCTAATCCTTATCAAGTGGGTGCTCAACATCTCCATTTACAGGTGAGGAAACTGAGGCCCAGAGAGGTTAAAGTAATTTACTCAAGGTGACACATCTGGTATGCTGAGAATAAAACCCAGCTAACCTTTGACTACAACCTTTGTTGCGTCTGCGATCATCATATATAGGGTTGATCTTTGAGTGTAAAGTTGTGGCTCTCCTTGATTCGTGACATCACCATTCATTCAGAGATCGAAGTAAGAGTCAAGTCGGCCCTGTGCTCAGTTCTTTCACTGCCCACTGTCTTAACCAATATTCTAAAAAACAGGAAATCCTAAGAGTCCAGATTTAAAGGACATTCATGAAGGTCTGTACGGAAGGAACTTGCCAGGCATTGAACTAGGGGGAATTTGCAACCCAAAAATTTGTCTCCTCCTGTCTTTCTTTATAAGTAATAAAATTAAAACACTGTCAGTGGTGAAAGCATCCAAATGGGGATGGTAGGAAGTCATAAGCTCACTTTAAGAGAAATTAAAGGTTAGAAGTGCCTTCACCCCCCCACGTTACAGGAATGGATCACAGTTGTAGGAGGAGTGTTGACTCTCGCCAGTACCAGTAAATGCTCTTTTGAGGATGTTGGAGAAGGAAATCGCTGAACTAGTAGCGAAACGCTCCTATGAATAAAAACGAGTGCAGTTCATTTGCAGGGAATGAGCTGAGCAATGGTAATCCGGAGAGTACAGGCAAGACAAAAACCTCACCTCTGCAAACTGAGCAGCAATTTAAAGGCCATTTAAGCCTTAGGAATCACAGTATAGCAGCCATGCATGTATATGAAATGACAAAAACAGACCAAAATAGCCTCCCCAAAAGCCTGTTGTGACAGTCGAAAGTGGCAAAATGAGAATTATTTTGCCTTTCTCACTGCGGGCACACACACACACACACACACACACAATGCCTTTGTGGTCAACTGCAGTTTGAAATTATTCCTCCCAATTCCTTGATCCAAATGCCTCCCATCATAAATCCCCCCGAGGCCATAAACAAAACTGATACAAAATTGTGAAGCTGATAGAGCTCCTTCTTGGTAACCCTTTCGTCTTTCAGGCCCCTGCTCCTGTCACCCTCTGCTCCTTTTTTGCCTTCCCCAAACACCCCAGACTGTGTTCTTTAGCCTGGGACCCCCACTCACCCTCCACAGACCACTGCCCTCGGCTCCTCTCCCTGCCCCTCACTTGGCACATGCACAGCAAGTTTCTAATATGTAATGAGACAGTCTGACTTGCTGAATGGCTGATGTTAACCCAACTCAGGGCATGCCAGACCAGGGACCACAGGGAATAAAGGGACCAGCCAGGTCTGCGTCCAAGGCCTGACTCTGCTACTGACCAGCTGTGTGACCTTGGGCCTCTCTGTGCCTCTCTTTTCTACTTGACTCAGCACAGAGCCAAGCATAACAGGTGCCTAATGAATGCTAGCTGTCATCGTTGCCTTCATTATTAGTCGCAGAGCTGGAATTCCTTCGAACCAACATGCGGCCATCAACCCAAGCACATCAGCACATCGAAGCCGTCAAAAAAAAGGGGTTGGCCAGTGTGCTGGGATGACTGTGCTAATTCTGTTACCTTGGGGTATTTTTAAAACCAAAACAGAAATGTACGCCTCCCCAGTGCAAAAACACTAGTGGAGCCAAGAAGCTACAGATGCCCCAGGAAAACAAAAGGATTTCTAAGCCCTTCCTTGATTGACGAGGCTGGTGGGGCCACCCTGACACGTTGGCCAGCACATGGTCACCACAGCCACATCTTCCGTCGAGTGCTGTCTCGGGGAGTTCTTTGTGTGACCTTGAGAAAATGGCTTTACTGCTCTGAGATTCAGTTTCCTTATCAGTAGAATGAGGGCAGTCTTGATAGGGACCATTTCCTGATGGGGTAGCTGTGACAAATGAGATAATCCGGGCAAAGTCCTCACCACCGTGCTGAGCCAGAACTGCTCACCGAGTGCCTGCTAATAAGATGAGAAACAGGCAGCCTGAGCTGCAGGGGGCAGACGGCCAGCAGGGGCTGAGGTTATTGCAGGGAGGAGGTGGTGGGCATCCGCTGACCCCTGAGAGCCAGGGCAGCATGGCTGCCAACATATGGCCCAGTGAATTTTCTTGCAGGGGCCTCAGGAGCAATTGATCTCACCCAAACCCCCAGACTCACTTCCCTCCACAGGCTCCAGTCAAATAAACGCCCCAACTCTCTCTCAGTCTGTAGGTGGCTCCTGTCCTCCTTGCCCTGCCTCTTTCCGCTCTTTCCAAAGGAAACTATGAGAGTGACTTCTTGGTTTCTCTCTCTTGTGCCTCCATCAACTCTTCACCGAGGTCCTGATGGTACAAACTTTGTGGTGAATGAATTTATCCAGTTGGGTCTCGAAGGCCAGGGTGTCCGCTTCCCCACGACTCAGCCAGGTCCAGCAAGCCCAGAGCAGAAATAAGCCAGGCCAGCCCAGGGCTCCGAGGAGAGCTCCGGGATGCGCGTGGGAGCCTGTCGTGCTCGGTGCACTCCTAAGCCACAAGAGGCAAGGCTGGGACTTCATCCCGTGTCTGGACTCTTCTTTGTCTACACAGGGACTGACTGTTTACTTGGCTGCTTTCTGGTTTGCCACCTCAGGTCCCTGCATGGTGGGTTTCCCCTCTGAGGTGCCTCACCTCACAGAGGGCAGGGGTTTTGCCCAGAGTGGGCACAGAGTGATGCCAACAGAGGAAGGACTCAGCTTCTTAGTGATTCAGGTGAAGGGGTGGGGGGGGGACTTTCGACGGACACAGCTGGGCAGAGTAATTAGACCTCAGGGTAGAACATGAAATGCCGAGTGGGCCAAAGCCAGGTAGCACATCCTGGAAGGAGCAATCTAAGCCGCCTGTCCCCAGCGTGCTGATGGCTTTGGAATTTTGTGCACCCTCTGGGGGAGGCATCTGTGAATCACTGTGGACACTTTAACGAAGCGCAACCTCAATGCTGTGCAACATTGAGCTGCAGCCCACAGTGAGCACGGCCATGAGGGCTCCCTGAGGAGGGAGGGGACGGGCTCGGTCGCTGGCCTCACCTTGAAAAAGATCAGTTCAGTCGCTTCGTTATAGGAAGATCACAATGGAAATGGAAACACCTGTTAAAGAAAGGTAATTGCAGCTCTTATTAGAGTTGTGAAAGGCGTTTCAGTGAAAGGCCTCTCTCCTGGAGGAAAGCACTACCCTGGGTGTTTTTGCTGGAGGGGACGTAGTCAGCTTTGGTCATCGGGTGAAAGAACTGTGCCCATCTTTTGGCCTGACCCTTCCAGAATGCATCCCCCACAGTGGGGGGCGATGTCCATCTAATTTATTTTTGTTTGTTTTGCCAGCATGTAGCAGGGCGCAGGGCATAGAACAAGAACTCAATAAATGGAATTAGTTGAAAAATTTTTTAAAATGTTTATTTAGCTAAATAAATGTCATTTAACTCATTCAACAAACACCATTGTGCACTAATATGTCCGAATATCTAGATGCTAAGGATTCAGAGAGAAATTAATCAGGAGTCATTCAGTGATTGTGGCTGAGACAAACACGGCTAGAACGCTCCATAAAACGTACAAGGCCGGCTGTCCTGTGAGCCAGGAGACATGGAGACGCGGGCAAGGGGCTTCCATCCCAAGCCCAGGGAGCAGGGGAGAGGCTGCCACGTGCTGAGATGAGACGCCAAAGCTCAACCAGTTGGGAAGAGCAGCAGGAAGGGACGAGCCTCATAGGGGCTGCAGCTGCTGAACACTGAAACACTCTCACCCTCCTGATCCAGCCCCGCCGCTCCTTCCAGTCAACAGCGAGGACGCCGAGCTCTGTGCCTGGCCTCCCGAAGGGGCTGCTTCCTCCAGGCCGCGGTCCTCACCAGGAGGGGGTGCAGTTAACAGTGCTTGGGGGGGGGTGGGCCACTATTACCCCTGTTCCGCCGCTCCCCCTGCTTCTCTGCCCTCTAGGAGCTGTGCTGTTCCAGGTTCTGACTCCTTTGAGATAAACTCTCCCATCCCTGTCTTTGTTTTAGAGGGTCCAGTAGTCAACAGGGTTCCAGATTCTCTCCTGGAGCCAACAGCTTTCTAGACCCTGTGACTCCTTTTTGCCCAGCTTCCAACCCCCTTCCTCATGTTCCCCTTTTCGTCCTGCGCATGTTCCAGAGAAAGGTGTTCATCTCCGGGGAAGCATGTGCTGGTTATGTCCTCAGGACGTGATCAGAGGGGGCTGAGCAGCGTGTGTCCCCCAAGGCCCCTAAGCTGCCCCGTCTCCCGGTCAGAGTTCAGCTGATTGGCCAACTGGCAGATGTAGAAACCAGCCTAACTCAGAGCTTTAAACACCTTGTATTAATAAATGAGCATTATAAAAATGGTCAGTGCTGAAGCAATTAGCAAGGGTCTTTATGTCCTTTATTGCCTCTTCATTTGAAATTAGGTTTCATTAAACTGGCTTTTTCAATTTAATCTTTTAAAATAATTGGGGACTAGCGAATTTGTATTCATCAGTTTCCGCTCACAGTTTCAACAATCTGAGAACTAGTCAGTGATCCAAGTGGAAAGGAATCACAGTTTTGTT